TTTTCATCCCTCCCCCCCTTTATAAATACGAAAAAAAATAACGTTAAACGAGGTTTTAATTTCAAGTCGCCTTATTATTTACTGGACTCAGCCCTGACCGATAACATCAGTGCTGAATTTAGTAAATAATACATAATAAATTTGATCTTTTTGTGTCACATTTTAATAAATTTACTTTAAAAACTTTTATAATTATTTTTTGCCAAAAATAATAGATTCTAGCTTACTAACTGTAGTTTTCAAAACCTAAATAAGCATTGCCAAGGAAAAGCTCGTAAGTACGAATTTAAATATTTACTGTACTAGCCTTAAATTCAAAAAATTGTAATATTCCATCTTCTAATCGGGTTCGATAATAGTTTTTCTATAAAATGAGATGTACGTGCATTGTATTTGCCCAAAATGACTAGAAAACTGATTAAATTGCGTATATCATACGATTTTATAGTAAAAATAGACTAGATTACATAAATTATACGCATGACCAAATTTTAAATCACCTTTTTATCATAATTATTCACTTTCCTTTTACGTATGTATTTAGTGGTTTTTTTTTAAATCTTTTTAGTCCTTATTTAGTCCATTACGATAAATATTTTCAAAATTTTCTCATAATAAATTCTTTATAAATTTCAACGATAATGTTGCGAATAATCCTTATAACTTTCTTAATTATTTCAACATCGCGAGTTATTGCATTTCCTTATTTGGTTATCAACGAAAGCGTTAATAGTAATAGTCAAACTGTTATGTATGAAAAAATGAGTCTTGAATATTGGTTGAAAGTCTTCCTTACTGTCTTTTTAGTTTTATTGGGTGGATTATTTTCTGGTAACCAATTTATTATTCATACTGAGTATATTATGTGATCTGTTTACGTGGTTGACTTTTTTAATACTTAAATTTATCTTGAACTTTTTAGGCTTGACCATTGGATTGGTAATTCGCATCTAAAATTTTATTATTATTTTAATATATTTTTGATCTACTGAACCAACATTGTCCCAGATGAGCCTGGATGAAACAAATCTTCATATTCTCACCCAGTCTGGAGATCCTAAAAAACGGTATGTGCGCGCATGCGTACGTGCGTGATTGAAAAACATACACGATCTTCCTTATTTATGATTCTTCTATTATTATTATTATTATAGCAAATACGCTGCACTCATTCAGCCTATACGTAAAAATGGTCATCTGCTACTTGTAACTCTTCTTTTATGCAATGTTTTAGTTAATGAAACCTTACCGATTGTCATGGATGATGTTATGGGAAGCGGTAGTATATCTGCAATTTTGGCTTCTAGTGCACTTATTGTTCTCTTTGGTGAGATTCTTCCTCAAGCAATATGTACTAGATATGGTCTTGCAATAGGTGCTTTCTTTGCGTGGTAAATAAAAAAATTTTTTTAATTTCTTTTATTATTGGTTAATTTTACTATTGTAATATCTATCTTTTTAGGCCTACGAGGATATTAATTTGGTTAACTGTAAGACCTTCTATGTACCTTTTTTCATGATAATTATTTTGTCACTAGCCAATTTGTTTCATTATATTACTCTTCACTATACAAAGTTTGTTTTTTCGTATCCGATTGCCAAGCTGTTGGATTTTGTTCTTGGTGAAAGTCACGGTGTAGTTTATCGTCGTGCTGGTAATTTCATAGTTTTGTGATATTATTTCTAAAGAATCGATCTTTTAATTATAATTATTTAAAGAACTCAAGGAATTAATTAAGTATCACGAAACATCTAATGAGCATGGTGGTGACCTTAATACTGATAGTGTTACTATTATCCGAGGTGCTCTTGACCTCCAGGATAAAGTAGCTGAAAGTGCAATAACACCATTGAACAAGGTAAATTAGAAAAATTGTCCGTTATTATCGACGATTTTGTTACTTGTTCTCTAATCATTATCTCTCATTACCAGATTTTCATGATTAACGTTAACACCATTTTGGATAGAAATACTATGCATGAGATTTTTTTAAGTGGATATTCTCGCATTCCCGTTTATGAAGGTTCTCGTAATAATATTAAAGGTGTTTTATTGGTGAAGGTATAATCAATTGAATCAATTGCAATCACTAATTTTACTACAATGTGTTGATTATCTCTGACATTTTATAAATTTTATAGTCTATGATCTTGTATAACCCTGATGAAGCTCTTCCTTTGAAAAAATTTAACATAAATCCTATTATTACAGTTGAAGCCTCAACATCTTTACTCGACATTTTAAATTCATTCCAAGAAGGTAAATGTCACATGGCAGTAGTTGTTAAAGAATCAAATCTTCTCGGCTTCATTACGTTGGAAGATGTTCTTGAAGAGCTTATTCAAGAAGAAATTTATGATGAGTCAGACACGATGTCTAAAAAAATAAGTGGCTTGAACGCTTCAATAAACGCTATTCGGAATAACAAATTCAAGAAAATTATGAAAAGAGCAAGCAATTTTCCAGATAATAATGATCCAAAGGATTTAATTGCGTTTGAATGACCAATTGATAAAAATTTATTATTAAACGTAGTTTTATAAAATAATTATATAGGATATTAAAGCATATTAATATGTTAAATTCTCATTAAAAATTTTAATGTAATTTTTTTGAGCAAATATGTACTGTACGTACTTTGTTTATTAAGCAAATTTATATTATTAATTTAATAAAAAATTATTTGTCATAGATTGAGCTATAAACAACCTTATGAAAACTTTTATTTGTTCGAGTTTAATGTGGTGTTGTAAAATGAAATGTGATTGCTTCAAAAGTTCACCTATCAACTCTAAGATTACGAAAGTAAAATTTCCCATATGCCCTAAATTTTGTTATAAATGATTAAATTTAGAGTTACATTGTTTCAAAGTGCCCATGGTTACAATTTGATATATATAGTTTGATAGTTAATTAAGAATAAAAGAGGATTATACAAACACAACAACCTAGTATTATTGATAACAGGAAGGCATATAGTGTTTTGCAAAATAGATCTGCAGGTCGTTTAAAATTATACACTCTAGCGTCACCACTCTAAAAAATTTCGATATCTGGCCGAATTAAAATTCAAAATCAGGAGTAGCATAAACCAAAACAAAAATACCCCAACCCTAGGGAAATTGATAGCCATATGGGTCATGGACTAGGAAAACAGCCCTTTGAAGGGGGGTTTCTATTTTGAGAAAATGACGATTATAGTTTGTG